CTCCCTCCGGTGCCCCCCTCCCGCCCCCCTTCTGGGCTTCCAACCCTCCTCTTTGTTTGCGTCACTCTACTTTTTTCAATCAATTTTCAGCCGCCGCAGACAGGGGCATGGCTTGGCACTCGAGTTTCACTTCCTTGTGCCCGTTTGGGTAAGATTGACCTAAATAGTGAAACAAAGAGAGACCTTTCTTGTTTATGACTTTGGCTCTGTGAATCATAAAATCCACACCAGGCCCGTTTCCTCTCCAACTTCAGCCAGGAAACGGGTGGGCGCTGTCTTTGGACGAGAGGAGTGTCTGAGGGGGCTGGAGTCAGACGAAGGTCACTGCGCGGCACCGGAGGAATCCAGCAGGATGTGACCCCCGGGGTCCTCAGCAACGGATCTCTTGGGATTGCAGCAGGGGGGCTCTGTAAATCCTTCAAAGGGCCCCTCCCAGTGCGCACCAGCAGAGAAAGTGGAGGAGCAGAAATGCTCCCTGCTGAAGGGGGGCAAATTTAGGGAGCCACAAATGGGCTGGAACTAATTATGGTTCCACTCAATTTGGAGATTTACACGGATGTAGAAAGCCCTGGCTTGGCTTTGCAAAAGAGGGCATTCTTTTTTTCCTGCAGTAGCGGCACATTATGCCTTTTCCCAGCTTTTCCACATCTCACGCGTAGGTCTTCTTGGAGTGGAAAGGCAGGATATCAGCGTGGTCTACAATTATATGAATATAAAAAGCCCGGTCTTTGATGTGGTAATAATAAAGCACAGTGCAATAATATTTTTTTCAATTAATTTTTATTAAAGAAATTTTTACAGAATAAAAACATTTACAGAAAAAGAAAACAAAGGGGAGTAGAAGGAAAGGGGTGAGGGAAGAATGAAGAAATGAAGGAGTAAGGAGAGAAAAAGAAAAAAAGACAAAAGACAAAAGAAATGACTTCAGATCTTCTTTACAGCAGTTATAAATGCATTTGAATTTTATCCTTTCTAAGGTTACATCATAACTCCCTTCTTTCCATAATCTACCATTTCTAAACGCCAAACCCATAAATCACAAGTACATTTTTTCAGCAAAAGTCCATAAAGGGTTTCCAGTTGCTAACAAATGGAGTTATTATCTTTTCTCTAATTAAACAAGTCAATTTTGCCATCTCTGCAAATTCTGTCATCTTCGCCAACCATTCCTCCATTGTGGGTATTTCAGAGTCTTTCCATCTCTGTGCATTATAGCACAATAACATTAATGACTTTTCATTTCCATTGTTTCCTTGGGAATGGTTTAGACCACAAGAAGCGTGTAGGCAAGGGTTTGCTGAAAAGCTGTGGATGAAAATGTGATCAACTTGCATGTGCAAATATAGTTTACACCTTCCTCAACCTGCTTCCTTCCATGTATTTTGGATAATAGTTCCCAAGACCCCTCCCATGAGCCTTGTTGACTGGAATTTTGGTCAGGACATTTGAAGGGTTCCAGGCTGGGAAGAGTTGTGTCTGTAGCTCAGGGCTGAACTGTGGAGTCCTTGGTGCCCTCCGAGCTTGGTTATTTGCTTGCAGACGTTTCATGACCCAACTTGGGAACAGTCTCGCTGCAAGTGAGTGTGGGGTTGGCTGCCTGTTTATATACAGTAGCTTGCCCTGCCAGTGTTGGTGGGGGTGTAGCTACCTCCTTGGTGGTTCCTTGATTAGAGTATTATTTTCTGCCTGATTGTTTGTCTGGTGTTCACCCCTGCTTATCTGGGTGTTGGCTGCTGGAGGAGGTGTGTTCTAGCCTTTTTGTTCCCCTCCTAGGTTTTTGTCTCTTTTGACTGGTCTGTAAATGTGGTTTATCTCTAGGTGTCTGTTGATGGTGATTTGTCTGAATGCCAAGCTTCCAGGAATTCCCTAACATTTTCGGACTTGGCTTGGTCTCAGATGCTAATAGTTTCCCAGCTGAAACTGTGGTTGGGTCTGTCCATGTGTTGGGAGATTAAGGAGTTTTTGTCATGTTTTCTGATAGTTGGCTTTTGTGGATGCACAAACCCTATACTCTAGTTGTTTTTACAGAATAAATTAGAAAAAAGAAGAAACACTTTTGCCTCATTTTGACAGGCCACAGCATTTCCTGGTGTATGTGTGTGTGCGCGCGCTTCTGTGTGTGTGTGATACATACATACATATATATGCACATGTAAGTCTGAAGCCGATGGATGGATGGATGGATGGATGGATGGATGGATAGATGATGGATGGATGGATGGATAGATAGATGATGGATGGATGGATGGATGGATGGATGGATGGATGGATGGATGGATGATGGATGGATGGATGGATGGATGGATGGATGATGGATGGATGGATGGATGGATGGATG